ATTATCCCATATCACATTCATCGATGAGGCAAAGTTGTATTTGCTGTAGCGTTCGACTAAATTACTTATTTCTCCTCTTCATAGGTAGGTTTTTCGAGACTCCTACTAGATCTAATATAAGAGCTGTTATATCAGATCTACTGATAATCTGGAAATACCTGCTTACGAAGAGGTAAATATAAGTTTGCCTTATCGGCAATCGCACTGTAAAGTGTAATATGGGGAGGTCTGTCCTTCCATGAAATTTACATCTGCAGTATGATCCATTGATATAATTGGTAATAAAGCGTAGTTGTAACATGCTAAAATTATTCGCTGCTCTACTCGTTTTAGGGTCTGACCGGGGTTGAAACTGCAGTCTAGTTCAACCTATATGAGAATAACATTTAAAAGCAAGGCTTAATTAAATTTAATGGAAATATGAGACCTATCATATGATTGTATGAAAATTCAACCAAGAGTTTTTTACCATCTAGAATGGTTTTTACATATGCAAGGAGTAGGAGCATGCGAAGGCTCTGGACCTTGAGTAAAAAACTTATTTAACCAAAGATTGGATAGTGGGTGAATCTTTCTCCTGGCAACATGGCTATTTATAACTAGGTAAACGTAGAGACGATTATAAACGAAATTATATGGTTTAATCGAAGGCATAGTGTTTATCTATTTTGACAGTATACCGAAAATTGTCCCAACTTGTATTCCTATATGCATCTTAATTTTCCACAGATGTTGACGAATGCTCGGGTCTCCGAGGCGTGGATCATACGTGTCCTCAGGAGACCCTTTGCATAAATACTCCAGGTGCATACGAATGTGTCTGCAAGTCTGACCCAAAAGAAGCCACTGAATATACAAGGTTAAAACGCTCTACAGAAAGCTCAAGAGTAGGAGAGTTCTTGCAAAGAATATACCACAATCTGTTTGATTCTACTCATACACGGCGACGGAATGGGTTAGCTGGCGAGGCTGAGGCTGAGGCTGAAACTGCTGGTAAAAATGGATTGGAAGATCAACCACCAGATCGAATCTGCTCTAAAGATACTGAGATTGGTAATTTGTTTTTTACATGTATTAATATTCTCATTAGATGGATTTTTTCCATAAATCAAATGTCAACTCGAGTAGTGTTAGAAACAAAGCACAGTTAATCAAAACCTTTACCTAACAAATGCACGCTAGCTTTGCGGATCCTTGTTGGAATTTGGTACCTTTCCAACCCTTTTTAATGAAATCAGTAGAGAATCAAAAGGAGGGTACTAGTGCTCAAATTCACTCGATCATAGCTAGCAGGAATAAGATTGATAATAAGATACATCGCTTTTCATCAGATTTTCCATGAGAATAAGAAGATAATTTCGCTACGCGTTATGACGCAAATCCAAAATTTAAAAAATCTTACTCTGGTAGTATTGGCTACCAAACGGAATTCGAATGGGTAAATTCAGATATAAGATGGCTACCCTAGGCAGCACGCTTATGTTACCATGAGATTAGGATGAATAAGGATAATTGACAAGTCTTTTATAATATACTTCTAATAACATAATTACTTATGCGCATTTCTGTAGCCAAGTTTAGTGTATTCGTTTTGAGGGAAAAGATCAGTTCTACAGAATGCCATTTTATTTTATGTATATAAATATGTTTTCGAGACCGTCATTCTACGTCAGTTTTCTCTCCGCATGCACCTCTGCTCTTCGCCTTACAGATTGTCTTCTTTCGCAGCCGACGTCAAGCCATGAAGGCCATCATGCAACTATGAAGCGCATTAAAGCCTATGAATTTGCTACCAAAGTTATGCCAGGATCCTTCGCGCGAGACCAGTTTGCTTCGATTTTGCCCATTTGTCAAGTATGCCAATGTCGAGTGAGTTGAAGGCGAAATGTGCATAATGACCGGAATTAGGAAAAACATGATCTCTTTATCGCAACCTTCGCTAATCAACTGGGCTAATTCTGCCATGCAGGACGACAAGCAACTAGTTAGATTTTGTGGTCGTGACATTACAATTTGGCCTCTCTATTAGGAGCATTTACCTAGCTTGAGTTATAACTATTTCGCTAAATATTTTTCTATACAATAGTGGTATAATAACTTTTTTTATGGAGGCTGATTATACAGTAATACAAATGACTCCTGAAGTTGTAGTTTTAATTGTAAGTATAGTGATCCTCCAGGCACCGTTCTCAAAAATTTCATAATTAACTTTTTCTGTCGCTTGGAAGGCAGAAATAAAATTGGAAAGTCTTGCTTCTACCGGTTTTGTATAACTCATATTTTAGCCTTAATGCACTGGCTGGCTATTCAATTTTTCAATTCGTTGCTCTTACTGCGAGTTTACAGGTTAAATGTTTGCCAATAATGCCGTAAACTGTGTATTTTATCTCAAAATGACCATAAATCAGTATACCCCTTAATGAATTTACAGTTTTACTATATAAAAACGTATCTGCCCTCGTTTAGTTACATGAATAAAGATCGTGGTGTTTCGATGCGTTCTATGGATAAATGAAATGCATCCCATAATTCCACATTTCAGCTCAATAATGCCTCTAATCCGCCCGAAATCAGATCGAGGCAAATTTATCTAACAGGGGAATAAAAGTCTTAGCCATCCTAAATCGCATAAGGTGAGATTTTCTCATAATGATATGAGTATTTTTGTTTCACAAGAGGCTTTTCATGAACTGATATCAGGGCTGCATTGAACCTATTTCGCTTGAGAAGATGAAGGACTTGTAGATGAATTTTCCCCAAATTATATTAGTAGACACTACGTTTCCTTTGAATCTCGCATAGCCTTGCTTCCTCAAAGATATTTTCATCCAGACAGAAGTGGACTCCAGTTTCGACCTCGCCTTAGTCTCATCAGGAGCCCCAGCGGGACTCTAACCGTTAATGTGCTGAATACAGCTCTGATATGCGTGTGCCTCACGTTTCAATTGCACTACACTTGGCATTTTTTCCCCAAAAAATGCTCTCATCCAATGATACAGTTTGATTTTGTTATTAAAATCTTCCACATTACTTGTGTTCATAGCATATATGCAACATATCGAAATTATATGAGGCACTACTCGGGTTCGATTCCGGTGAGAAATTCTGATGAGTCCGAGACCATGTTGAAACTGTATTCCACTCTGGATGAGACTGCCTCTTGCGAAGTTGGCCTAAGATAACTTAAGTGGCACGTGAAGCCTATTCACATCAATTTGGGAAAAATACCCCACTAGAATTTATCATTTTATGTCAACTATGATCACCGGAATTCTTATTCAAGATTTAGTGATTATAAGCAAGCTTCTTTTGACTTCTTACAGTTGGCCTATTTTTACATCGAAAATCACTCCTTATTCAGCTCTACTTAAGAAGAGACTGAAAGTTGCAAAAGAGTTAGAATTTTCCATCAAAGTCTATAGTTCTGCTAAGGTGAAAACGGTATTTTGTTGCCAAAACTTTATCATGCTCTTTCAAAGCCAGATATCAGGTTTTAACGACAAGTTGTGACCGTCATAACGGACAAGAATCTCCAAAACACCCAAGAGTACACTGCATGGCCAGTGTGTTTTGCGCTTTATCTTGTCTGGCACTGCTCTAGACGGAACTTTATTAGCCTCTTTCTCGTCTCTTGTATCCTTCAGAATGGTCACCTATTTTGTCCCGATTCCGGCATATCACAACTACGCATAGACGGACAATTTGCGTCTTGGAAACAGCGACCCTTGTCCTGGTTGGCGGAATTGCAGACCTCTGCTGAAAGAGTTTCACAGCCGATGGCATTTGCTGTCTTCTCCTCGTCCAAGGGTCTAGACAGTAAATTCACTAGAAAGTTGGGAACAGTTGAACAGGATATTGGCGTGTGCAGCAACTGTAGCCAACTGCTAGCCTTCCTAGAGACAGAGGCAAAAGACATACTGCCCTCGAAGCTTGACGAAAGTACAGGTTGGGCCAAGCATCAGGCGTCAGCCTGCTGCTCCTCTAGAGGGAAAGGCGGTGATATCGACTGTCCTCCACACGAAATCAGAGGCAACACAATCACTATGGCGAGGACAGGGGGCGACTTCGAAAGTAAATTGGGGTTGGATTCCAGAATGATCTGCGGTGGCGTTGAGGCAGAGATAAGCTATCAATGGCGGGTTCTGGATGAGGTTGAGGACGAGACCAACCGAGCCAATTTTATACAAAACACACAGCTCAGAACGGTCTCAATTGGGGGCGAAAGTGAACATATGATATCTTCATTAGCAGGTCAAGATGACCAAGTGAAATCTCCAAGTCGACAAGAGAGCATTAAACAATCTGACTCTTCTGCGCCAGACGTAGAACCTGAGCCGGTGGAGGAATATTCAGCTTGGAAGCGACTGCGTCGACGAAGTGTCAAGACTCTTGGCTGTGAGATCTGTTTGTGTCAGGTTAGTTTCTGTGACGGGCATGATTTCTCAAAGACCTGCTTATAAACGAAAGATGTTTTTTGAAAGTTTAAAAGAGATATTTTTCATTAAAAGTATCTAATAAGGTTATAACAGCCTCGATGAGTTACATTTTAAAATACTTTGAAAATTTTTCTAAGATGAAAAATGGCACTGCTACAACCGATATCAGTATACTCATGACAAAACTAATTGTAATCCTAGTAAAAATTGTTCGTATTATTATAGCAACCTTGTCGATTTGGATGGCAATATCCAATTTTGTTGTCGGAGTACCTTTCATTTAGTTTGAAGATGTAAGTTGAAGGGATTCGTAAATTGACCTCAATGGAAGCTGAAGGGGACGGCTCGGAGATGTGGTTGTAGATTTGCCTCATCTACTATCCCATTATAAGTGTGGTTTAGGAGAGGCCTTGCCTTCCTCGGAATCCGCGTGTCCCAATTGACCCAGGGGTACTCGAGGCAGTTTAACTAAGACTATTAATTAAGCAAGACTATTAATTGAGTCATTATGACCTATGATTCGTAATATTCTAGGCTGCATAGTTTTTCTGCATAATCTGTAAAATCTTGTATATATGAAAAAGCTAGGTTTTAAAGAAACGCTTGATGAGTAATTTTGACTCGACTTTTCATTTTAAGGGAAAGTTGGTTGGAAGGAATTCGTGAACTTGTCTTAGTGGAAACTCATGGAGGATTTCTCTTGGAGTGTAGCGAAGACTGTTGGATTATGCGAAGAAGTCTTCTCTCATCGACTTTCGACCCTAATGGACTAGGGTTGCAGCCAGCCACCTTTGCTTTTGCTTAACTATATTTTTTGCGCTATCTTAAGAAAGATGGATTATTGCTCTGACGTCTGTCACTGCGGTACAGACAAACGCTTAGTACAGATTCATGGGGGTTGTAAGCAGGTGGGTTGAAAACTTCTTCGCACAATCCAACAGTCTTTCGTCTGTGGCATTAATCCTTCGTCTTCCAGTGAGACCAATTAAAGAATTCCTTTCAGCCAACTTTTCCTTCAAAATGGAAGTCTAGTTAAAATAATACTCTTGTCCTTGGCCTTGCTATGAGTACGCAGTTATTTGCTTTTAATATCCTTTCTTTGTCAAAATTAAAAACATCCTTTTATTTTTATCTGCATTTTGCTTTATAATAATTTATTTCAAAACTATTTTTATATAGAATATTTCGGCCGCCTTACCAAATATCTTGAGCTGTATCTTGAAGATTTATTTTGTTTTATGCATATGTTTAATGCATTTCTATGTTTAGAGTTGGAAATATTTAGCGAGATGAAAAGAAGCAGGCCAACGAATGCATCCCTTTCGGTTGTGTTTTTGCTTATCCGAAGTCGTCGAGAAATATAGAGGTATTTTAGATGTAATTAAAAAAAGTTGATTCGGCATCAAAACTACTTGCTTACTTCAACTTTGGTGCAAACAATTTAAGGATTTGTATTTTGTATAAAACTTAAAATATTAGCTCTTTTAGGTATTTTTAACCTGACAGAGTGTTATGAGTCCTCTGCGATTTGATGTCAGTTCCATCCATCGGCTGCTAAATTAACGACAATCAGGAAAAGTGACAGATTTCCGGATGAAATAGTAGAAAGGAGTACTTGTATAAAAAATAATTAGACAATCCTTTGACGTATCTGAGACAAGCTGGCAAGGCAAAACAATAAATTGAGGGTGCAAACAATGCGAGTGAAGGAAATTATTATTCCTTAGCAAGATCTCGTCAATCTTTAGCCAATATTTTTTTGCCTGCCAGGCGCACGAAATCACCTCCTGGATTGGTGGAGTGATTTCCTAACTAATGTTTGACATGTTATAAGTCGTTTTCTGATAAATGGAATGGCGAGCGAAGGAAAAAGTGAGAGGGTCGCCATGGCAATTTAAAGGAATCAAACTGGTCGAAATGCTGTAGACCAGAAATGTCAAGATGGATACGAAGTGTAAGCATTATTTATTGCCAAATTCATTCCCAAGTGAAAAATGTAAAGACCATATCTGCTATGAATATAAATTAAGGTGCATAATTGGTCGGCTATGCTTAAGAGGTCAATTCTTGGTGTGAACATGATAATTTGCAGAAGTATTTTGGCAATATGCGACAAAATCGGTTCAATCAAAGTTAAACATCATAATCAGCGTTTAACTGGATTCGAACTTAGAAAGAAGCAGATTTATGGTGCTATGTAAAGATGGGTCTGATCTGAAATTGCATTACAAACAAGTTTTTTCCGAGCTGATGATCACGTTTTGCACTCTGGGACGACATGTTAAGGTTCGGCTAGAACTGAATTTCCTGTATGTTCAGCTAAAGTATCCAACAGAAAGTAAATGCCTAAGTAGGTTATGTTCAGGAATAACATTTGCCTCCGAATGTAACAAAATAAAAAGCGTAGCACAGTCAGCTACCGAAGTTTTCTGTACTCTGTCTAGCGAGGTTTGCTGAACTTCAATCATAGTATATGTATATATCTAATACAAATCTTTATTTATTTGAATAAAATTGAAATAAATAATTTTCAGGATGTCCAAATGCTACTCAAAGCCTCCAGGGCATTTGTCCTCTCTCAGAACTGACAAATCTTACTGCTGCAAAACTGAGCTGCCATGGTGATTTATATAACAGATAGCGATTTAACTCACGATGGATCCAAAATGTTTTGATTGTATGCTAAAATTCACTCAGTCATGCAACCTTCGCTCTCATTTGAGGTTGCTTTCAATCAAAATAAAATGGATTTTCTGGCTAGCTTTGCTCTTATCAGCAACCATATTAGAATTCAAGATGTAAATATACAGATTAGACCAAACTAAATTGCCGCTAATTGATAACAATAAGACATCTGCTAGCACATTAATGCAGGAGTATTTATCCTTGGTTGTCTGTGAAAAATAATTAAGAAGTTGTTCATTGTAATAATGTAGGCAATAAAGAAAGTTAATATTTTCTGTTACAATATGATACCATCATTGAATCTATATTTTATG